CTGGCAGTTGAAACACGCAAATCTTAAAGCTGCCAAGTAACAAGACCCTTGCACCCCTAACCATTTAGAAAAAAAAACCCAGGGATGTTCAAACTTGACAGCTTTAAGACTTGTGGACTTCAACTCCCAGAATTCCTCCTCTCGCTCTTCATCTTGGGGGAGGGAGCTGGAACCGGTTCTAAACGGCACTGTAGATTTATGGAACCTCTTCTATAGAAGAAGTTAGAACTGGCAGGAACCCACCCCTGTCCCAGATAATCATTTATTTTTTGCAGAACATCTTGGTTTTTTTCTTATTCATTAACTAGGATCCCCCCCCCCCAAAAAAATGCAATTAATATTATCAGGTAGCAATTGCCTGCTTTTTCTCCATTAACCATAGTTAGGGTGAATTTCAGTGAAAGTATAGCGCTGTACCATGGTCACTTGAGAGATATGGAAAAACAGAAAAAGTATGAAATAAAGGCTAGACGGAACAACTTCTTATTGAAAGTCTTGGAAAATGTTTTTGCCTTCATAGTTTATACCAGTGTTTCTGAACCTTAGCAACTTTAAGACCTGAGGACTTCAACTCCCAGAATTCCCCAGCCAGCTATGCTGGCTGGGGAATTCTGGAAGTTGAAGTCCACAGGTCTTAAAGTTGCCAAGATTGAGAAACACTGGTTTATACATTTTAAGGAGGGCAGTTTCCACAGTTTTTTTAAAAAACCATCTGGGCTTCTTGTTGCCATTCATTTGAAATGAAATTATTAACAATGAAGTGACTAGCACATTTTGCTCTGATGTGCCTTTGGCAAGTAATGTTCTCTCTGTGCTACAATATTAAAAGTGAATGAGGCTCTGCTTCATTCATTGCTGCGGCTAACTTGTTTTGCTCCTTGAATATGGGCTTCCAGTAGCTTTACTTCAACCAGACGTAAGAATATATCCAGGCTTTATTAAAGTTTGACTGCATTTATGTATTCTGTTGCTTGAAATTACGGTAAATTGAATCTGAATGAAAGTAACCTGCAACTGATTGCAGTAATCAAAAAGAAGACAAATTCCCACAAGTTCTTAAACAGTTACACCTCATTTGATTTCCAGCAAACAGATGGGGAAACAGATCCATTTTGTTTATGCCTGTCATTAAGGCAATTGGCCTGTGGAGCTTGAGAGATGTTTTTTGTTTGAAAGTTGAAGAAGTAAATTTCTGTTATTGTGCCTTCCTTACAGAGATAAAGGGAATATCTGTTCAACTGTGCATGTAGTAGTACTTAGACATATACCGCTTCACAGTGCTTTACCGTCCTCTGTAAGCAGTTTACAGAGTCAGCCTATTGCCGCCAACCGTCTGGCTCCTCATTTTAATGACTTGGAGCAATGGAAGGCTGAGCCGGTCAGGATCGAACTGCTGGCCGAATTAGCCTGCAATACTGCATTCTGATCACTGTGTCACTGTGGCTAATATACATTACTATATGCCACGGAAGTAATTGATATAAGTTCTTTACTACTGAAAAGAGAGTTTCGTTTTTTAAGTTTTGGCTTAAAGGAGGTGAACCTACATGGGGCTGCCCCTGAAAAGTGTTCGGAGACTACAATTAGTCCAGAATGCAGCCGNGATTGTGGGGGGCGATATGCTGACTCTGTAAACCGCTTAGAGAGGGCTGAAAGCCCTATGAAGCGGTATATAAGTCTAACTGCTATTGCTATTCTGCCTCAACAGCATGATATAAACCTATGAATTGGTTTGATTGCTATGTTATTCGCTCTCTGAGTAGGCTGTGTGGTTTAAATTATTCAAATTGAAAATAGATTTCCTTATGAAGTTAAATGTGAGGAAAAATACCAATAGTGAGTGGAAGTTATATTAATGAGTTATTAGCCCATATGTGTAGTGCCAACTGTAATTTTTAGCTATGCTGATACTTAATAAATACATAACTATAACTACAACCACAAGTACTATGTTTATTTACAGGGATTTTCTGTTTCTTCTGCTCATCGTGCTCTCTCTGCAGCTCAAGCTAAGAACTTCAAAGTTAATAAAATACTACAGATAGTCCTCTACTTAGGCAAGGACGATTACACAATTGAGCTGAAAATTTCCGTTGTTAAGTGAGACATTTGTTAAGTGAATCACTGCAGTTGTTAAGTTAGTAAAACAGTTGTTAAGTGAATCTGGCTTCCCCATTGATTTTGCTTGTCAGGTGGTCGCAAAAGGTGATCACGTCACCTCGGGATACTGCAACCATCGTAAATATGAACGAGTTGCCAAGTGTCTGAATTTTGACCATGTGACTATTGGGATGCCGCAATGGTTGTGTGAAAAATGGTCATAAGTCACTTGTTTCAGTGCCATTGTTAACTTCTGTCACTAAATGAACTTTTATAAGAACTTTTATAAGGACTACCTGTATAAGCCAAAGGGAGAAATAAGTTATACAATTTAAAAACCAAGGAGTTCACCAAGGATTTGGTGTCACCCATGGGCAGCATAAAAATGTAATAGATAAATAAATAAAATATAAATAAATTTTGTTGTTGCAGATTCCATACTCAAACCTGAAGTCCTATTAATGACAATAGTAATAACAATTTAAATAGCCCGTAAGTCACAAGAACAAATTTAGTCCTTTTCTGGAAAATAATGTAATAGGTCTTTCAGGCAGTTTTTGCATAAAAATAATAAAAAATGAACTTGTGGCAAGATTATAGAAAGAACAATAAATGATGTGACTTTNCTCCTCCGAGTAGTCGCCAGCCGACATTGGCCGGCAGATGGAATACGGAGGAGGCCTAATCTGTAGGATCGAATGGGTCTGTGGGATTTGACTTCTGAGAACTACCTTTCCAATCACAAAAAGAAAAAGGCCCAGTGGCTCCTAGTATACCAACACAATTTTCCATTATAAGACCATCCTAAAATCTGAGGATGGCTTTGAAAAGATTATTCACACAAATACAAAGTTTGAGGAAACGGTCTTACACATGTTCTGCGGTAAATGGTATTTGGTGATGTGGCTATTAGTATTTGTGCCCCCACAATAATTCACATAAGCTCTTCAAGTTAAGAAAGGGGAAATGTTCCTCTTACTGACTATCAACTTCAGCAGAGATGTTAAGAAAATTGTGTGGGCAAAAATGGTGCAGTGTGTTTTTCCACAAGATGAGCAAAACAGCAAAGGATTCGTTTTCAAGCAAAGCAGCCCACTTACAAGGCCTAGTTATTAGCAGGAGGAGGGGAAACGGCACTTAAGTTTTAATTATACAGCTTTTTTTTTTCATCTTGCATATCTTTTCCCCCCTTTAATTGCAGGTCTTTTCCCTGATGTGGGTGGAGGCTATTTCTTGCCAAGACTTCCAGGGAAGCTGGGCTATTTTCTTGCTCTTACAGGATTTAGGCTGAGAGGAAGAGATGTCCACACAGCAGGAATTGCAACTCATTTTGTAGAAGCAGACAAGGTAAATCTGCCCAAATAGGTAACAGTTATGGAAAAGAGAGGGGGGGTATTGCAGTAGCACCACAGTTTCTCAAGGAAGAGACAGCACATTCCAGAGAGAACCCAGCCCAGAGCTGGATGGGAGAGAGAAGAAAAGGTTTAGGAAAGCATATATTTAATAGATTAGACACTTATAGCCTTAGTCTGGCAAGATTCTGTCTATTAGGTATAAGCAAATAAAGAATTGGATTCAATTGGATTTCACTGTTTCTTCTTTGGGCTTGGACCTAACAGTTACTACTTATACTGCATCCTTGTTCCTAGTTTTGTGAAGCAGGTATGTTTTTAGATAATATCGTGCACTTTTTGATCAGGTGATCAATACTCCCTTTGTCTTTTAACCCTGTCTAGTTTAATTTGGCACTCACAAATAAATTTCCAGGCTACCACACAAATCAGAACTCAGTACATGCAAATCTGTCGTTTTCAATACCTTGTATTCAGACTTTGCTGGATTTCTTTCCTCTCCCTGCTCTATGTTTGTGTCTCATTTCAAGGTTGAGTGGGGTCCTTTGGAAAATAGACTGTGGACTATAGGAAGAAAGACATTTCTGCCGTTCAGTAACCAATCCCAAATCCTTTTATTGATAGAAACCAGGGTAGGATACAATACACTGGGCTACATAACATCTTACATTGAAGTGGTTTGGCCCCTCAGAAGTCTGTACTTTTTTTGGAAATTTCTGCTTTCTCCCGTAGATGTCCACCTGCAGATGGAACTTTTTAAAAAAAGTGATGATGCCCCAAACTTCAGTTGCTTTCCCCCCTCCCTTTCTTTTTATAAAATGTTGTGAAAGAGAATAAAAATGAACTAGCTTCCCAAGGTTTCAAATTGTTCTATTTTTTTTTTATAACATCAGTCTTGAAATCACTTGTGTGAAATTATAACATTTCAGAAGTTAGAGTTCTATACTAGTTGTGGAGATAAGAGCAAAAAGGAGAAGCCAAATTTTTCATGTAACACTGTTGTGTAGATATCTGAAATCTCTCTTGATATTATCAAGAAAAATTCCCGACAAAAATGTGATTGGATAATATTAAGGCCTGTATTGAACAAAATTTTGGCCTTTCCCCCCATTGTTGTTTAAATGTTAGATTGTTTGATAAGGTTCAAACTGTAAATATGACAATAGATTTGTATGCTTTTTATAACTGTTCTTTTATTTGCAGATGGCCTCTCTCGAAAAAGATTTGATAGAATTAATATCCCCCACAAAAGCAAATGTTGCAGGTGTTTTGGATTCCTATCATAAGGAGGTAAATGAAATTTAAATATACAATAGATTTCATAATAGGTAACCTTTATATACAAAGCACACCTCTATTAAGAAAGTCTGTCTTCATTTTAAATTTTTGCTGCGTCTGTGTGCAGCAGAAAATGTTCGAAATATGGCAAACCTTCTCTTCATAGGCTACAATAGCCTATAGTTCTGCGTATAAGCTATTTGGGTAGAAAACGAAATTGACACCATCTTCTTAAGAATAAGATAAACTAGATGCAATCTTGAATTAAAATTCATTAGAAAGATAAAAATATGAAGTATGAATTCTCTAATACTAAGAATTATTGAAATAATGATCAAAGGTTGGTAATTGAATGATGCAATACTTGGTACAGCAAACTTGGCATACTATGCTTGAAGTAAACAAAACCCTGTGAATTATTCCTTTGAGTTTTTACATTTGAGATAGTTTCCTTGTTGATTTAGGCAGCAGCATAAACGATCAAATGACATCAAATAAAACATTGTTCCCAAATGTTTGCTCTTCTGCTGTGTCCGGGTTATTCCTACATGGAATACTTAGAAGGATGTTTACTGTTTTTCTGTTAGAAATTTCTAAGGGGCATTCTATATATCTATGTATGTGTAATTAACTCATTTGTCTACTTCCAAATAGGTACATAGAGGATTTTTCTATGCAAAATGCTGTTTTTTTTAAAGCGAATTAGGCTTTTGAAATACACAGAATGCATCGTATCTTTAAATAAATAAATAATAAAGATGGTGGTTACTCTCATCTCTGCGTTGCTTGAAACCTTGTGCGCTGACAGAAACTGAGCTGTAAATCATCTTACAGTTTGGCCACAGATTTTAGCACCCGGGTTCTCCGTCAGCAAAATGGACTGAATTTATGCCCATAGCAAGATGTTTTCTACAAAGAGGAAAGGTTATGATGAGCTGCAAATATTAAAAGTTAATGGAGTGGAAGCAGTCTGTGGAGTGTCCAGGATATTAATGCCGGGCCTTTTGTTATTATTTGTAGCTAGTATTACTGTATTACAGATACGTTCATATTACAGAACCATGACATGTAACTTGTGAAAAACTACAATTCCGACAATTCTCATTTGCAGAAAGGGTGTGAGTAGTCGCACTGACCCTTCCCACCATCAAAATGTGCTAAGCATAGTTTCCTTGCCACAGTGGGCTATTGCAAATAGATATGATAGATAGATAGATAGATAGATAGATAGATAGATAGATAGATAGATAGATAGATAGATAGATAGA